CTCTTTCCCAAATTGAGAAAGGCCTAAAACAGTTTGCCACTTTTGAAGAGCTGCTGGTTTAGGAAAAGTGATGCAGTTGGAGAACTTTGGGTGTTTACTTTACCTTTTATTTAGTGGCTTTTTGGTAGTGGTAAACTTCTAAAATGCAACACTGAGAAAAAAAAAATCATACAAGCAAATCAGCTTACCTTTCTGTTCACTGCTTCCAACTTCCTGATCCTTGACAGCATGGAGCATGATTGTTGGTTTGGAATCTGAAATGATACAGTGGCATATCTTATCAAAGTGCTGTATGCTTAGGTCCTAAAGAATGTGTTTTGAAAATGAGTGTGACCAAAAGAAATGGTATTCAAAAGAGAGCTTACGGGTAAAGCCTACCCACATTTCAGACTTAGGGAGGAAAAACAATTCATGCATAAGAGTCTTGGAAGCTTGTCTTAAAATTTGAACATTGAAACCTCTTCTTTTTGACCATTCCTTTAACTTCTTTTTTTTTTTTTTTTTTTTTTTTTTCCTTGCGTTATGCGGGCCTCTCACTGTTGTGGCCTCTCCCATTTGCGGAGCACAGGCTCCGGACGCGCAGGCTCAGTGGCCATGGCTCACGGGCCCAGCCGCTCCGCGGCATGTGGGATCTTCCCGAAACGGGGCACGAACCCGCGTCTCCTGCATCGGCAGGCAGACTCTCAAGCACTGCGCCACCAGGGAAGCCCCCTTTAACTTCTTTTAACACATGTATTAAAGAATAGAGTAGAACAAGGAGGAAAAATCTACTTTTTTGAAAAAAGTAGATTTTCAAAAGTTTTAGGTTATGTTTCATCATCGTATTTTTCATGAAATTCACTGTCCCCCACACAAAATGCAGTAATAAGTTATTAATCGCCTTAAGAGATGTTATCAATTTTATTAGTAAGAAAATTCAGGTCCTATCTATAAAACCACATAGGATTTTGTTTGAATCTAATAAATAAAAGTTACATTTTTCTTTTTGAAATCACATTTAGCTTTGAGATACAGACACACGCATACACGCACACACATGTCACTCTCCATTTTCAACTTCTCAGTCATCTTTTATTGCAAAACCAAAGCTATTTGAAAACAGAGTCTTCAGTTTAATCTTTTGTAAAGTCTCCTGATTGTTCTCTATAGTGTAAAATGAGAAAGCTCACACATCTCACACAACCTGCACATCAGTGTCTGTCCATCACAGCCAGTAACTGTTAGTCAAATGGGACAAATACCACCCAATATGTCATTAGTAGACTCTTACTAATATTTCAAATGTGTGGATCTAACACCATCCTGTTGTGCTCAGAAATAAATCCAAGATGTAAATTATGCATCAAAGATTATACTTGTCTTTAGCTCAGTTCAGCTTTCTGGCTGACCAGCACCCACCTACAAATAAGGTAGCCACCAGGTAGGGTGGCCCAACAGATTTGACTGTTGTTGTTGATACTTTAAGTAATCTTCAAGAAAATGGCTGACAGTTAAAGTATAAACACGTTTCTGTAGCGGTCCCCACAGCACTTCTCCCACAGTGATGTATAGCTGTGACACCAGGATTTTCTCAGAGATTCTAAGCAAAACCCAGTCTCGGCAGATTGCAATCATACAAATGATCAAAGCTATTAAAACATCAAAAAAGGTAAATATTACTCACTGGAAATTGTGTACTGATCTTCTCACTTGCTTGAAGAACACACTTTCACAACTCTCTCAGGTCATATAAAAATAGTGAAATAAAGTCTGTTGGATGCAAGACACCAATTAAGACAAAGTTAGAAGTACTTATCAGATAAAGAATTTCCATAGCAAAAAATATTTCATACCTTGTTCTTCATCTGAGCTGTGCTAATCAAATACTTTATCACATACTATGTCCCCTTTTCTCTCAAGAGAGTCTGAAATTCATAATAGGGTACAGGTTTTTTTTTTTTGTGGCCGCTCCAGGCAGTATGCGGAATCTTAGTTCGCCGACCAGGGATCAAACCCGTGCCTCCTGCATTGGGAGCTCAGAGTCTTAACCACTGGACCGCCAGGGAAGTCCCTAATAGGGTACAGGTTTTAGACTTGGTGGTGTCTGATCACCACATACAAATTGCCAAGCACACAGTTCTCAATGCCAGACAATGTAGGACAGGCATGGTAAACACTTCTACCCCAGCAGTCAGTGATGCCAGGTCTAGGGCCACAGTCTAGGATAAGGGACTCATCCAAACAGATTTCCACTTTCCTCATTTCAAGGCACCCCTGTACCTGCCTCATCACCACCATACAAGGTCCCAGGCCAAAGATTCCAGTTCTTGAAAGGGATGTAAAGATACAACATGTGCCTGAGAGGGTTGTCAGCTGACTTGGTGTTACAGGACTTTATCTAAAGCCATACAAGTGGGGTGGCTTTCCCGGGACCCACCTTGGGGAGGAGAGGTGCTCAGGGAACAGAATCTGGGGCAAAGTGCCCTTGGCAACCCAGAAACAGGCACTGGTGGACCCGGAATCCCAGGCCACATCGCCAAGGCAGGGCTCCAGCTCACACCCTCCTCCTTCTTGAACCTCTTCTGCTCCCAGCTTCAGTGTCTTATCCTGCTCTCCTAAGATCTATTTTGAGGGCACAATACCAGAGACCTGTGGTCAAATATAGCCTGGAGCTGGATAATGTTGTGGCCTCTAGTTGTAAAAAGTTTTAAATTTGTTGCCAACATTTAAAACCAAAAATATTTCACATAAAAATAGAGATTGTGGGCTTCTCTTGGAAATGGGAAAATCTGGCAGCTGGAGCAGCTTTTCCTGTGACAGTGGGCTGGAGCTGAGGAACGGCTTCACCTTCTAAGACAGGACAAGCACCCTATGGACCCGTTGGCATTTGAGTTGACAGTTATGGCTCAGCAGTTCCCCACAACTTTTGAAACACAGTCACAGATTCTGGACCATGAATTAGATTAGATGTTAGGAAGGTATTATTTTCTGAATGGGAGGCATGGTTTTGTGTGTGTCACGGTAAAACTGGTCTAATATGAGTTTCTGGTCTCCTGTTCACCTTGTTTGCTCACTTCAAAAAAAAAATCTTTGCTATTTTCTGGAGGAGCCATTTTTCTTTTAACTTTTTGCTCCTCCGTTCATTAAAGCCATTTGTTAAAAGGCTGCAGACACCTTTCCTGCACTGCTAATTTCTCTCTTCCCTAGAAGCTTGAGCAATCTCCGTTTCCTCATCCTGAAAACCTAAACAGTAATGCCCACCGATGGGCAGGTTGTCATGAGGACTCACTCATACTTACATTCATGCTTTCATTCCTGATTAATGTCACCTCCTACCTTGTTCTAGGCACTGTGCCAGGGGCTGGGTTAAATGAGATACCTATATGTAGGTACAGAGTGTAAGAAAAGCTCTTAGAACCAGGCCTGTCTGACACACAGATGCTGCAATCATCACTGGAGTCCAGACACTGAACCTCACTTTAGTGGGAATTCACACCAGCACTTTATGGAAAGAGAATCTAAAAGGAACAGTAATGGAAAAAGTTGAAAGGGGCTTCTTACCCTTGGAAAACAATAACTCTTATCTCCACCCTCCTTCAACCCTGGTCAGTTTCCACATTTCCTTCCAGCAGTGCTCCCCATGCTTCCATTAAAGATGGAACCATCCAGAGAGCTGGGTGTGTGATTGACTTCCTGTGGCTCTGTCTGCTGATTGAGGTCATGTTCACCCCTTACCGGAAGCCCAACCTGTGCCCACACAGAGCTAAACCCCTCCCAGGTGGACTCCGTCTTCCCTCTACTCCCTATTATACTTCAGACAGTCATTCCATCTCTTCCTTGAGCTATTCTCATAATCTAAATTCCCCTAACCTAGCTTGTAAGTGATAGGACGTAACTCAGGCAGAAACCTTCCAACCCCAGAATCTGTGCTCCCTCTAAACCACATCTTTTCTCCAGCCGACATGTAAGCGCCCCACAGAAGGGACAGCCTTAGTCTACTGTCACACAGGGACACCAATGGATTTTTGAATGGCACAATTCTTCATAGAGTCAGGCTGTCTCGGGTATCATAGAACATCTAGCATCCCTGGCTTTGATCAGTTAATTTGAGTAGTACCCCAGTATTCGTGACAATTGAAAGTGACTACACATTTTCTAGACAGAGGTAAGGGAAGTGAGGCTACGTGGGTGGGGGGGGGATGGGGCGTGGGCAGGGAGCAGTCCTCATTAAATTTCAACATTTCAGTTGAATTTGGCCTCCACATTTTCTTCCCAATAAACTTAATAGTTCCTGGTTTAGCAATAGGTATCCATAATTATAAACAAAGCAAATGCCCAAGAACATGTGGTAATTTTTAAGATACAGAATGTTTCCAAGGAGAACAATGTGCACCATCACTGTGATCTCAGGCAAGTTGCTTAATTTCCCTATGCATCAGTTTCCTCAACTGCAAAATGGAGATAATAAGGGTCCTCAAGGACAGATGATTCTTGTTCCTCTTCCACTGTATAGAATTGTTCTGTGAAGTGGCTTCCTGACCAGGAAATACATTTCCTGGCCCTCATTGTATCTGGGTGGGAGTACGTGGTTAGTTCAGTGAAATGTAAGCAGAAGTGATGTCTGTTGCTTTCTGTTAATGTGGTTGAAAGTAGGGGCACCTTCTGCACATTTTTCTTCTTTTGCCAGCTAGATGTCAGTGTCCAGAACATCCTAGGAAGCAACACATTGGAAATGAAGGAGCAACAATGTGGAAAGAGCCTGAGATCCCTGGATCTCCATTTGGAGGAGGATCATATAGCTCTTATGCCAATCAGGGATATTCATTCTGGACATAGATGAATAAAGAAGCTTCTATGGTGTTCGAGCCACTGTTCATTTTAAAGTTTGTTAGAACAGGTAGCATTGCCTTAACTAATACAAATATTTACCTCTTGTGATAGAGTAAATGATGTAGAGCACTAAGGAAAGCCCCTGGTACATAGTAAACATTCAATAAATGCTAGCAATAGTTATTGTAATAATTATTATTGTCTCTCTATATTACTTAGTGGGGCCAAAGGCACTAAAGTTTGGGGGAAATTAGGTGTGTAGGATGCTTTTAGATGCAACAGATAACTCAGTCCAAAAATGGCTTAAATGATAAGCAAAAATATCTCACATTGTAAGTTCAGGGCCAATATTTTCATGATTGGCTAGACCATGTTGTCACAGACCCTAGTGCTGTCCATCTTTTTGCCCCATTTTTCTGGTGTGTGCTGATGTCTCTCCTCATGGGTGCAAGATGGCTGCCGTTGCTCCAGAGATCACATGCAAACAGGACAATGCCCAGTGAAGAAAAGGGGCTTTCTCTTTAATTGGTGAAGAAGACCTTTCTTCCAGAAGACCCCCAACTCTTTATCCAGGATTGGCTTACATGCCCATGACAAAACTAGTCAGTCATTGGTAAGAATAATGAAATCATCATCGTTGGTCACCTTCCCTGAGCATATGGGAGGGTAAGCAGCCAAGATAAACAGAGGCTCTGGAACAGATGCTGTGGGTGCTGTTATTTCCCCAAAGGAATGCTTTATACTTCCAACACAGGCTGTTCTACTAATCTTGCAAGCATCCTTTATTCATGTCTACCTCTATACTTTTGCTCACATTAATGTCCCCTGGAATGCCGTCTGTTCTTCTCTTGTAACCAGTATTCAAGTGGCTCCTCAAGTTCTACTTCTTCTATGAAGCATTCTCTGAATGTGTCCTTCCTCTTCTTGGAACTTCTATAGCTCTTATGGTCAGTATCACATTTTGGTATTATTGTATCACATTATATTATTATATAATATTTTTGTTAGTTTATGGTATATTACTATAGGCTAATTGTTTGTTTGACATATATAGATTTATTCACTCAAAAATTGTTTTTGAGCACCCACTGTATGCCAGGCATTGGGGGAAAAAAGTTGAGTAAGACATGGCCCTTGTCCTCAAGTTCCTTATAGCAGTAGAAAACCCCATACCTTAGATGCCTACTGTGTCTTCCATGTTGATCAACCCAGAGCCAAGCATAAGGTGAACCCTTAAAAATTTACCTACAATAATATACCCAGGGAGGGGTATATTTGGAAAACAAAGGGTCACCACCACACAAACCCAATTTGTAAAGTGTTCACCCATTATTGTACCTCAAGCCTCCCTATTAATCACCAAAATCACCCCATGTAGAAACCTCATCACTACAGTTACACTGTGAATTTAAAAGTGACAGACAGTTGCCCAGCAGTTCAAGAGACCCTGAGACATTGTGAATATCAGGTGTAATCATGTGTTTCCTTCCCCAGAAGAATGCGTCCCCATTTGTCTCTTCTCTGTAAAGAGATACGGGACATTAAATCACAAAGGAGAGAAAAGACAGGAAGAAGAGTAGATTTAGAAAATCACTTAGTAGTTGCCTTAGGACTTGCACATAGAGTTTACAAGATGAAAGAAAGTGAAGACACAATCACTTTTAATAGTTCCTTGGAAAAACTCCATCCCCAAATGTCCTTCATTCTTGTTGCTATTTGTTGAAGGTTTGCAAAGCTGACTAAGTGTGTTTTATGCTAATTGGCTGTATCTGACATCTCTTTATCATTTGAAATTAATAGACAGCCTCGTAGATACAAGGTTAATGGAATACCTTCTCCTCCTCAGATTTGCAACTTGGCATTTTCCCCAAAACACCACTTTCATCTTTATATAAGCGATCGTGTCTATAAAGTCTTCTTAAAAAGGCATACTGTCTAATCCCATCAACCCATTTGTGAAACGTTCCAGAGGGAGATTGTTACGCTCTTATTGTCGAAGCTGTTCTGCTCTTTGCATGCTCCTAAATGCCCAACAGATCTGACATCCTCTTAGCATGGTGGGGCGATAGCAGCTGACGTGCCAAGCACTAAGCAACAGCTGGCCCCATAGCAAAGCCCCTTCTTCTTTGGAATGATGCCACCTGAGAAAAGGAACACTTAATGTGCACTAGAACCAAACTTCGTCCCAAAGTGCAAAGATGATAGAGGCCCTCTCTCCTCTCCTCTGGCTTCTCCCTTCCGAGGAATGGCTGTGGTGACACTTGGAAAGGAGGGATGAAAATGTTTGCGAAGGCTTCTCTGTGTATCTGTGAGGGACAAGAGGAGAGGGGAGGAGCGGCAGTAGACAGGGTGACTGTTTTTGGCGTTTAGGGAAAAAAGTCGAGGGAATCAGCAAGTTTATTTCTGTTTGTCCAACTCCGGTCACCAAAGGGAATGAGAATTGAGGGAGGCAGACTGCACGCAGAGTCCATAATATTTATATGCTTTCTGCTCCCAGAGCTCCAAGGGCTCCAAAGTCTCAAATAGCATTATGCCAGCATTTAAGACATGCAAAAAGGTATGAAGAATAAAATGAAACAAAATGAAACCCAATACATGCTGTATATACATGTCCCATCTCCCCCTCCTGCATCCCACCCCCAAAGTAATCACTATCCTAAATTTGTTGTTTACCACTGCATGCTTTCCAGGCTTTTGCTGCATACTAATTGCTTTGCATCTTTTGAAACGTTATTTACATCTGTATCAGATGTAAGTAGAAACAGATATAACAGAAAAACACAAAATGAAAGCAGCTTAAACAGAATACATGTTTATTCTTCTATCACATAGGAGAAAGTTGGGGGTGGGCCAGCAGTGTCGATACAGTGGTACCTAGGAATCTGTTTCATCCTAGCTCATGGTTTCCACCTTCCAAGGCACCTTAAAGTCTAAAGTTAGCTTCTGGCGTTTCAGCCACTATGGTCACCTTGCGGGCTAGAAGAAGGGGATAAGGCTAAAGGACAAAAAAGGGTCATTAGCGGCTGAGCACAACTCCTTTAAAAGCTCCTGGAAGTCCTAGTTATCACTTATACTTATCAGCTCATTGGCCAGAACTAAATCACATGACCACACCAAGCTGCAAGGTCCCCTTTATCTGGGAAGCAATTTACCAAGTAATATTGGTGTTCTGTTGCTAAGAGGGAAACAAGAGTGGCTTAAGCAACTGTAGTCTCTGCAAAGATACATGGTCTGTGTATGCTTGTTTTGCTTAATTGCATTTGTGAGATTCATCTATGTTGAAAGTTACAGCCCCGATTCATTAATTTTCACTGTTCTATACTATTTCATTTGTGAACAGTCTCCAACTTATTTACCCAGTCTCCTGTTTTGTTTTGCTTGTTTGTTTTAATTCTCTTTTGGGGTTGGTGAAAACAAAGGTTTACAGAAATGATGCTATGAGCATTCTCATATGTTTCTCCTCATTCATACATAT